CTTTCGCACACAGAGACAAAGCACACGCACGCTTAATGCAGCTGCATTTAGTTAAGGCAGCTATCAACGGCGCACCAATACAAAGCCAAAGGCACACACACAGACACAGAGATGTACACAGAGATGCACACAGATACACAGGCACAGAGGCTAGTCCAGGTATTCCAACAATTTGGCGTAATAATTCTTTTGCGCTTCAGTACAAGCAAAACAAAACAGAGAGAGAAAAACAAAATGAAAAGAAATTCAAATTCAAATTCATTTCCGTGCCAATGCCAATGCGAATGCGTTAAAGCTATTATTATTTTTAAGTTTATTATTATAAATTGTTTTTGTTCTTGTTGCAGTTGTTGTTGTTGTTATTGTAGCTGCTGCTTCTGTTGCTGTTAGTTTTTAATGGCCAAGTGCATTGCAATTGGCGTAGCTGCTTTTGCTTATGGCCAAATGTTTTTAGCACCTTTGCCGTTTTTCAAATACATTTGTAGTGCTCACCCTTTGTGTGTGCGTGTGCGTGCGCGTGTTTGTGTGTGTGTGTGTGTGTATGTGTGCGGGTGTGTGTATATATGGCTTATAAAAATTGAAGAATTTCTCTAAAATTTTTTATGATTTTCTTTAGGATACGCAACGTACCGTTCCGGCTCTAACAGATGCAGTGCAGCGGGCATCCAATACCACATATCTCTGTCCACAGAGCACCGACTCTATAGATATATATACTCTATATCTCTCTTTATATATACTATAGTTATATGTATCTTTGCTCTTATAGTTTTTGCGAAACGCGTTTCACGCACTGCGATGCGCCGCCTGCAACTGAAATAATGCTCTCTGCTTGTTGGCCCAGTCGCAGCTTGTTGTTTTTTTTTTTTTTCTTCTACCTATATATATATATATATATATATATATATACATTATATATATTATTTGTTTTTAGTTATTTTTTTTGGTTTTTTGTTTTTGTTTTTGGTTTGGTTTGCTTACAAATTTTAATGCGAAAATGGCAAATTTATGAAAAGTCGCCCGCCCGGCCACCAGGCACGGGCATGGCCAAAATCGTTTTGCTCACTCGCTTGTCAATTTGATTGCCGCTGCCGCTTTGAACATTGATTATGCTAGGTGTTTTCAGCACTGATGTTTTTCGTATACCCTGTACGAACACGCAATTGGCTATGCTGTCAAAAGCAGTAAAGACAAGCGGTAAACTGAGAGCGATTACAATTTGTTCCCAATTGACGAAATCGATAAATATCGTTTCATGATATTTATATATGCTACGAATTATGCAGCAAGTAACATGGCTTGATTTAGCTATTTATCGACGAGACTAAAAGAGCACTCTGACATCGACACTTTGATTAAGCGAAGATCGATAAATATCGATATCAATCAGAGCTCAAAAGTACGTACTTCTATATATTAATTCAGCATATTCAAGATTAAACCATTGTCAAGGCTATTTACTATGGACCCTCATTTACCTAGTAACATATAACATAGCCATATAGCATCGATAAATATCGACATCAATTGCTAGCCCATGTAACAAATGGCACATAGGTACTTCTACCTATAAAGCAGTGTAGTACATTTACTAATTATTCTCCGACTCTATCATAGTAAAAATATTCAACTCGCTTTTATTTCATACCGTTTCAAACTTATTTGGTCCGATATCAATGTAGACTCATAGAATGTATCAGAGACAACTTTTATTGATCATCCTAATCTTGTTCGTAATTTAAAGGTAGACCTGCATACCTGTTGCTTGTATTACTTATTGTATTAGTTCCCAGATGGAATTGTATATACCCTAACTTTGCGCATAGCTAAGTCGCTTAGATACTGAACTCTGGATATCAATTGAAAACTTGAATGAATATGTCAACAGAAATAGGAAGCTCAAGGCTGTGCATAGGGTATCTACAAGTTGATCATTCAAACTGTCGAGCACATTTACTTGTTTTGTTTTTAGCTAAATTTGTAAATCTTAAGTGAACAAATCTGAGCACTCATTCAGTTTTAGACAATTAATTGAACACTAGTCGCAGTGCGTGAGCATGTGCATGTGTGTGTGTGTATGTGTGTAACTATTAGTATATAGTATTACTCACCGACGCCGCCTTTCCACATCCATTCTAAACTAATTGGTAAACGTCCTGTCCAATCTTCCACTGCGTCTGGCTTTCAACTGCCGCATGCAATTCGCCTCGCCTTCTGCTTTGGCTTTATTGTGGATGTGTTAGAGCAGCACTGCAAATAGGTAATAGATATAGATATATAAAATATATATTTTTGTATTGTACCACATACAAACTTAAAGTGTAGAAGTGTAGAAGTTGAGATCGAACTACTATAAACCTTCTAGCTCTTTGCCTTGATATTGAATGAATTCACAATTTGCATAGCTTGGGTATTAAATACTATGCCTAAATGTACCCAAAATGATAAACTTTAAAATGTACCTGCTTCTATTTAATATATGATTCACTTAAGTCTTTTGGAATACACGAATTTGTTAAACTTATTTTAAGTGCTTTTACACCATATGGTTTGAGCGCAGATTTGTACCTGTTGCTCATAATGAATGCTCACTGTACTCTGACAAACGCGAGAATAAACATACACACATGTGAATATATATAACTAGTATGTCAATTTCCACGAACATACCCCACTCTAAATAACTAAAGGTACAGGGCATAATTATCTAAGATCACGCCGAATGCGCAGCATCTTACCTGCTGCTAAGGTACGCCTTAAAAGCCGTTGCTCCACTGCACAAGGATTGTTGCTGCAACACCAAAAAACAAACAAAAAATAGATATAATATGTATTAAAATTAGTTATACATGGAAAATATTCCTAAATAAATGCTGTTTGCCGCTCACCTGAAGATGAAGCCCAGCTGGGCAATAACTGTTGTTTTTGTTGCTGTTGCTGTTGGTCTTGTTAGTGATGGACTGTTGATGAGGTCACGAGCGGGTTTTTGTTGTTGCGTGTATTCCTCGTTGTTGTTGTTGTTTTTGTATTTCGTCAACCACTTGAGGATTCAAATGGTCTGCGAAGGAGTAGCAGATGCAAATGCCTAAGCGACAGCTTCGACAGCCGTCGGTAGCCAACGCCACATGCGGGCAGAGACGAGAACGACAGCCCAGGCAGGCGCACACTATATATGTATATTTATATATCTATACGCATATATAATTTAAATATTATATATAGAATATTAATATATAATATTTATTATATATAATATATTTATATATGTATATTTAACTTATATATACATGCAGATATATGTGTGTGCCAATGTCCAGGTAAATGTGTTTGTAATTCGCCTCGTCAACTGGCACTAATGTTTAAGTACTTGCACGATTGAGCCGTTCCGTTATATTTGTATAGTTTATTTAATACATCTATTTTTCGCTTTCCTCAACTTTTTTTGGCAGCAAGTTTTTTGGCGAAACAAGCAGCAGCAGAAACAGCAGCAGCAGCGACAGCAACAGCAGCAGCAGCAGCAGCGATTTCGTTGTGTTTGTAAACATGCAATGTGTGGCACATTGATTGTTGTTTGCGCTGTGCGCATGCAACAGTTGCAACAGTTCTTTTTCCTTATTTTTTTGGTTTACTTTTGGCTGGACGCAGCCGAGAAGACTTGGTTACACGATTTTTTGTTTTGTGGATTTTTAACAGAGCCCAAATCCAAATGGCAGCGTCACAGCAAATTGTTCACCTATTTTACGATCACACTAAATTTTGCCCCGAAATATACCAAAATGGGCATTTTCTAGCGGCAAACGGTCACGCTTATATTATTTGGTATTTTTGTCGTATATGTTCACCTAATTTTTAAAATAATGATCGTGTGGTATTTTCATGTGAAATAACCGTTGACAGTTGTTGCGATTGTGCCTTACATTAATTATTGCTCATAGTAATTAGCATAATTAATTCATTATTAAGCATAACGTAAATATGATTATCTGATTATCTTTAAACAATATGAACTTAATCCAAATAACTTGATTGCCGAATAATGTGTCGCACATAACAATCGAATATTATTTCGATAGCAGACAAAGCAGCTCTAACAGTGTTCGCAATTCCGATAGTTCTGCGCAAAGTATATGCCGTTTATGGTATTTTCTATCTCTAGAATATGTTCACACTGTGATCGATCGGTAACCCAAACTTTATTCAAATGAATTGCGCCATTAATAGGTATAAATTTTATGTCATATTTTCAATATTTAAATTAGCTTAGCTACTTCGCATTAAACATATATATTAATTAATAATAACGATATTAAATAGTACAACGAAGACGGTAGAATTTCGACTAAACATACTTTAGTAAAAAGCGCGAATGTAATATGGAAACATTTCAATTTTATGACTTCATGTTTCATTTTTGTATTTGAAGCACTTCCGATTACGTTCATACATGTATAAAACTATGCGATGATGATGTCCATGTGCTGAAATACAAAATACTTACCTTGTGACGTCAGCAAAAGGCTAACACATTACTTTTTGCAATCTTTTTGACATAGAGTTTGCGTACCATGAGTGTGTGCCGGTGTGTGGGTACACGTTGGAATGTGTGCGTAGTCCGCACAGTGTAGCCAAGTGATTTTTAACAATGTTGCCGATTACTCACGCTCGTGTAACATTCGGCTTTTGTCGGCATCAGAAAACCTGATTCGCTTTGTGTGTGGGGTGCAGTGGGTTAACACACATACACTCAAAAGCAATGTATGCCAGCAAAGGGCTGTCCAGCCGATCGGCAGAGCGCAAAGAGAGAGCGAGAGCGAGAGAGAGTGAGAGAGAGAGAGAGCATGAAGTAGAGAGCGATTTAAGTATTTGTTTTGGTATTTAGTGCTAGAAAACGACAAAATGAAACACAAGCAGCATTTATTGTGCAGTTAACCGTTATACAGCAGCAGCAGGCAGAGACTGCGACAGCGACCGCAGTAATCAGAGTCAGAGTCAGAGTCAGTGTCAGTTGTGGCCGTCAGTCGTTAGACGCGTCTCGTTAGCCGTGGACACAGCAATCGCATCGCTTGGCAGTCATTCATAAATCAAAAATAAAAGTATTTATATATAAATACGATTTGTTAACTAGCTGGTATAAAACGCGCGCAGCTCTTGTATATAGTATAAATATAGTATATATAATCCTATTTAAATATATACATATATTTATGTATATGTGCACATGTATCTATAGCATATAGCGTAAATCTATGCATATTTTTTGTCTTGTTTTTTTGTGACAATTCTAAAGACAAGATCGCTTGTGAGATCTATACGAGTGCTGTTTACATATATACATTGTGTGTCTCTATATATAAATTGAATTCCGAATATCTATACATATATATTTTTTTGAAATAGTTTTCTAGTTATTAAAGTTCAAGTTTTATTGTTAACAACAACAACAAAATGGTCGAGACCGTCGTCACCGTCGAGCGCACAACAACAACAACTGGCCCACCTGGCGGCAATCCCTCAGCCGGTGACAATGGCAACTTCTGGAGCGCCATTCGCTTGAATCTCGATTATTTTAAAACTGCGCCGGGCCTCATCAAGATTGTCCAATTGGTAAGTACATTGATACATATGTATGTATGTGTCTAACTACCTACATACATACATACATACATACATATGTATATATGTGCATGCCTATATAGTACAACAAATGGCACTTAAGCTCGGTGACAGTCCCCTTCCCCCTGCCTGCCCTCCCATCAGCCCTTCCCTCTTCAACTGGCCCAAATAGCTAATTAGAACAGCTTGCATCTGCAGCTGGGCATAACAGACTGCCTAATACTTTTTAACGATAGTTCACAATCGATTTTTACAATATATCAATAAATTATTATATCAACAATTTTACTTTCTATGGAAATCGAAGACAAAGTAATTTTCACTCACGTCTATTGCATAATATAGATTTAACTCCGTGATTCCCTTAGTGAAAGTAATTCGCTCTGACTTTGCCACAACTTCGAGCGATCCGCCAAATGACTATTATATCTACAGCGAATATACTCTCTTTGCAATTGATGAGCCCGACACACACTACGAAAGTAGCCACAGCACATGGAAACAGCGAACATGATACGGCATTGCGTATACGCCGCATTGCCCGTCCACCTCTACGATCGTCCGCCCGGCCGCCTCCTCGGCGCTTGCCACCTACACAGCTTATCTGTGTAAATTGAACTTTTATCTATAGATTTCTCAATGCCTTCTGTCAATTAATGCACATTTCACGCCAGCTGGCCGCCATCTTTGCCCCAAGTAAATACCCTGTATAAATTAGAAAGGCTTCAACATTGAGGGTATTCTATTAGAATGAAATAGATAAAATAATTATAAATCAGAGAGATATCGTCGAAGAATCTCATTTTAATAATTTCTTTACGATTAAAAGCAATACAAATTATCAAATGACTGAGATGGATAGTAAAAACGTTTGGTTATTCGCTTCTCGATTAAATTATTAGACAAGTCTCTCAAGATTCATATATTATAAAATGATATTAATGTTAATTAACAGACATTCAATTTCATGAAAAAATTAGTTGCTAAAATCGATGGATTTATATAGATATAGAAGTATAGGCAGATAGTTAAACAGATAGATACAAACGTAAGACTGCATCTGAAATAAATGTTACTGTTATATATTTAGTTAATCATATATCAGAAATGATTTTGATCTTTGTTTCAGCGGATAAATATTTACATATGATAGAGGCAAGTGCAAAGAAAACAGGGTATTTTGCCGTCATGCTAGATTTCCTATATATATATCATTAACTATCTGTAGTTTGAATGTATGTGTGTGTGTGAATGTATGTGTGTGTCAGGATCTCATTAGACGGATAAGATAACCATGTTAAAAGGGCACCATGTGAGCAAGGCATGTGGTCGAAATAACTTGATTCCAACTCTATATACATACACATACATATGTGTTTATACATATCTGTTAATGACTTTTAAATCAAGAATGTAATTTATAAAAGTGAATTTTCTAACAAAAAAGTATCAAAAAGTAGTTAAAATTGTACAGCTGTACGATTTCACAGCTATTTTATATAGAGTATGTTCATATATGGTATATATATACATATATGTATATGTATATACATGTCTTATATATAAATATTTATATATGTATATATGGTTATATGTAAGCCCAATTGCGGGCGCGTGGGAAGCCGCCACCAGTTAGCCATGCGAATGCCGACAACCCACAAGAACCGCAATGAAAACATGAACTAAATTAACTGCAGCTACATACATATGTACATATATATATGTATGCAAAGTATATATACCTATTTATACTATGGGCACATACCACATAATATGTGTTTAAATGCTCGAAAAAAAATTGCAAATGACGTTTTTCTTTCTTGATTATAAAATTGAAGAAAGTAAGAAATTAAAAAAAAAAAAATTATTAAAGCAAGTTAAAAAACAAAATAATAATAATAAAATCAAGTTAAAAAAAGTTTTTAATTAATCCGAGCTGAGCATCGAACCAGCAACTGCTCGTTTAACAGCCGCCGGCCTTGTCACTAAGCTAAGGCAGAGGATCAATCCACAGGAACAGAAAGGAAGTTGAAGGAATGAAATGAATTGAATTTCATTTAAATTAAATTGCAAGAATGTTTGGAAATTCAACTTAAATCTACTATAAAAAAAAATCAGACAAAAATATCAAATGACAAGTCATATTTCTTAGTATTATATTTTACTGTGCATATGCGGCCGCCCGCCCACAGGTGGCCGCCAACACGCGACCACAACAAGTACAGCAACAACAATAATGTGTGACACACACACACACACACTCAGCCACAAACACACACCGCATTTGTTGCTGCAAGTTAGAAAAAAAATGCGGTGAAAGCTTGATCAGACAGCGATTGTTTTTGTATTTTTTTTTTTTTCAGCAAGCTTCAGTGCCACTGTTAATACACACACACACACACACGTACACGCATACGTACTGGCTATAACACGTGTATGTTACCGTTAACAAGGACACATGCGCATTAATAATGCACACTTTTCCAATTATTAACCACAAATTGTGGCGAACAAAATCAATAGGGCGCTACATTTCGAGAGACCCACAAATCCGAGACAATTATATCATTTTCCAAATCACATTAAGAGCTTTACGTTTAGCCCACCTTGACCCTGCTCCTACCCATTCGCCAATTGGGTATAAAATATTCACTAGCTAATTGCTGCAGCGCTCTATGCGATTCCCATGTTAGCCAATCGTAAATTGCGCCTAATTTTCGATTCCTTTAACTGAAAATTGCTTTGCTATTGTTGTTATTGATTAGAGAGCCTAATAAGGCAATAAATGCACTTTTCATTCCAATCTTATCTACAGTTGCTACTTTTTCTTTTTCGTTTCGTTACGCTTCGATAATGTGATGGAGCTGCTTAAGCACACATGGCCTATACAAATAAGTAGAGTGGCTAAAACTGATATAGAAATTATGCATATATCGATTATACAATAGTAAATTTATTTCATTTTAGGCTTATTCAATTATGATAAATGATATGCAAGGCATAGCTTGAAAAGTGTTGCTAATTTTTTAGGTTTTTTTTCTCTTCTTAGTAGTTCTCTCAACTATTATAGACTTTTACATAGGTTTGTATAAACATCTATAGAAAAGCTTTTAAATATCTTTTATCATAAATCTCTAGCAAAACAAATTGAGCTACCTATATGAGATTCTGTTCCACTTCATATTTCAAAGGGAACTAGTTACGCACTGGAACTGAACACATTCCGTTCACAAATGCACAAATCCAAATCAGGTTGTTTGGAACTATCCGCAAATATTTGCCTAACTATTAAATGCCAGCATTGGATAATAGCTTTATTATATTATGATAACTGATTGAGTTCTAATATATATGCATAAGCTTGAATCGATAAATAGATTAGTAATTGGCCAATAATCCTGAATAGCCCTGTTTCATGTGACTCATTGGGCGCATTATTCATACACGCAGCGATAACAGGGCGATAATGGCCATTGTTAAAGTGAACAAAACGCTAACTGGAAGATAACAATGAAATCCACCGAAATACCACTATCTCCCAATTCTGCTCTCTCTCTCTCTCTACCTCCCTCACTCTCTCGCTGTGTTAGGCCACCAGGTGTTCACCAAGTGTTCGTCCTGTATTGGCTTTATTACTCATGCGATCAGTGTGGCTCACTTGACGCTTAAGTTGCCTTAGCTGCCTTAGTTGCCTCAGTTGAAATTCTATTTATGTTCATCTTATCGACCATCAAACAACAATAAACAAAGTGATAGGCCAGCACACCAGCCGGCTGCCGATATCAACGGACTATGACTATAAGGGCGATAAGATTGTGCGACATCGGTCGGTTCCAGTTCCAGTTCCAGTCAGCCAAAAGCTAACGGAAACTCTGACTAGTTTGTTGTTTTTGTTGTTGTTGTTGTTGTTCTTTATTAATAATGTTGGTCAAACATTTGTGCAGCATGTTGACAAACCTGTTGTTGTTGTAAACACTTGCACACTCACACAAACATTGGTATTTATGTCGTGGCAGAGTCGTTACACACAAGCAAACATACATATTCATATATATATGTGTGTGTGTGTATGATTTAAAGCTACATATATGCAAATTGCGGCTGGGCACGATAAGAACCGAAATATTTTGCCCACGATTTTTTTTTTTTTTTTTTTGACTATTTTCCAAAAATATTTTGATATAGGCATTACGTAAGATCGGCCATATACACCCGTATATGCAAAGCAGCGCTAGTTTTGCCAGCCACTTACATTGTTCAAATTATTAATGGCCCCCAACTATGACACACACACACACACACACACACACACATTCTGTGTTGCTCTAGGAATTTCTTGTTTCGATTCCAATAGAAATATGCAAAATATGTAATTTATAGCTTAAATTCTGAATGTTGACTAAGTGCCAATGCGCACTCATGAGCTCATCTTAAAGTACGAATTGACGCTGTCATAAACGTAAATTACGTTTTCGCTTTTATTTGTGTTTTTAACCCAGGCACACATTTTGGCTTGGCTTGTTTTGTTTACATGTTATTTGCTGACGTCATAAAGTTGCATTAGAAGCGCGCTGAGTGTGCGCAACAAATGCGACGACTGTGACCGTTATCTTGTGTATCGTCTAAGCAAAGCGGTGTGTAAGTGTGCGTGTGACTATAGAGCGGCAAAAGTCAAAAGCCGCCATAGCGCATCCTTTTTACTGAAATATGAGCATTTATATATGCATACAAAGTTATCGATATTCATACTTGTATGTACGCATATACATATATATATGTATATATAAATGACGATATATGTACATAGTTACACAGCTTTTGCTGTCATGCGCCATCGATCAAGCGATTTTCATGCTTCACAGGGCAAATAAAGCATTTGATTATTTACCGAGCAAACGTATCAAAACTGAATATGATTCTCAATCTAATTCTGAATTTGGGCCAGTGTCTGGGCTATGAAGCATTAAGTTGTCTAACATAAATACATTTCCATTGCTAAATGTATGTATAAATATATGTGCATACATATGTATATGTATAGTGCGAACTGTGATATGTATTTATATTTTAGAAAATACATAATTGCCCACATATACGAGATTTATTTTTATTTCTGAAACGTGATGACGCAAATTTTTCTAGCTGACTTTTGCCAGTCAGAGTTGCCAGCATACACTAAAAAAATAAGAAGAAATAAACCCAAATGTCTGTGGTCAAGTGCAAGCTGCAAGGCACATTGCAGATCAATCAACTTTTGGGCGACAGGCGGCGCTTTTACTTCACGTTCACAGATATGATGCGTGGGTATGAGTGCGCGCGTGTGTGTGTGTGTGTGTAGCGGCGCATAAGAAAAACAAAACACAAACGAAAGACAAACAATAACATAAACAAGAACCAGTTGACTTCAGTCGCTGTGGCTGTTGTTGTTATTAGCAACAGGTCGCCTTTGGCTTTGGCAATGTCTGCAACTTTCAGCTTTCACTTTTCGTCTGCCTTTTGTTTTAGCCAGCGCAATAACAACAACAACACAGAAAGCTGCGTGCGCACACCTGTGCTTGCGCGACTGCCGCCTAATGCTTATTGCTATTTAATTGCAAGCAAAAATATTACAACAAATCAGAAACCTAAATGGGCATGTCATCGAAATCTGTGTCGGCGCCCACACAAACACACACACATACGCACACAGTCAGACGAAACTGGGCGTCAAAGTGCAGCGCTACCATATTTATACTCAGTTCACGAACTGGCTTCTGAGAGTATATTGGTTCGTTTCACTGTATGTTCAACCAGACTTAAAGCAGAATATGTGCATATGTAAATGTATCTGTACTGAGCGGGTCGACAATGCATTGCCCTGTTTAAAGTATAGAAATTAATATGTGAAACGAGCTCGATTCCGTGCTTAGAGTATTGCGCGGTCGGTTGAAACGTTGCTTACTTTACAGGTTCTCAGCTCAGCTCGATTTAGTTATTTAGTATTTATGTATGACAATTAACTGGTTGCTATTGCTCAATTGCTTAAGGTGACATCATGTCACCCAAAAAAAAAAAAAAAAAAAAACATTAAATGTCAATTGAGGAACTTTTGCTTGTGTGTTATATTTATGAATGGTCGGAATTTTTACTTTTTCATTGCAGATATTGGGCATCATTTGCATGGCATGCGTCTCGCCCGCACAGGCGGCAGCAACGAGCTTCTTCCTATTCGCCGTTGTCATCTCTTTCATAATTACCTTCTTGCTGATTGCCGCATATTTCCTGGGCATACGCGAGGCGCTCAACGTGGCCGTTAACTGGATATTTTCAGTAAGTCACACAGCTGGTCACACTCGAGCTCCTATCACTTACTCGTCTCTATCTCTCTCTTTCTCTCCTACACTGTTTTCTTCCTGCAGGAACTACTGACAACTGCTGTGCTGACCCTGCTCTACTTTATTGGATTTATTGTACAGCTGGCCAGATGGGCCGAATCAAATGCTAACGGACGCAATGCAAATGTAGCGGGCGGCGTTTTTGGCCTATTCAATTTCCTGGCCTATGCAGCGGGCACATATTTCCTATTCCTGGCGCACAGATCGGGAGCCACGCATTAAAAGAGTTTCAGCATCAAAGCCGAGCAGCGATCTGTTCTGTTCTGTTTAGATTCAACAGCCGATAAGCGGAACAAATTTTTTAGTCATGCGCACCCAAAAAAGAAAAATTATTAAGAGAAAAACGAAAAAACTAAGAATCAAAGCAAACAGCAAGCAGCGCACCCACCACGAAAGCCAACTTAGTGTAGTTTAAGATTTAAGTGCAATTTGTGTGGAGAGTTGTTTTTAAAATAATATTTTATTATTATTATTATTATTTTTTTTTTTTTTTGTTATATTTTCTTTTTTTTTTTTATTCATTAAAATCTAACGGCAGTAACGAATGAAAGCTCAATCGCAAGTTCGCTCAGCTCGGTTCATGTTCATGTTCATGTTCAAGCTCAGTTTGGTTCATGTGCAGACTCAGCTCAATTTATGCTCTAGCTCAGTTCAGCCCGCGCGACTTTTTTGTTTTTAATGTTAGTTTAATGCTTAATTTAACTTAAACGCCTGCTAACATTTAAGATCAACACATACAAGGCAACCAGCAACAACAAACAAATAAGTTCAATAAATTATTCGTATTTTGTAACTGTAAAATAAATGCTATTTAATTCACTGCTGGTTATTAACTTGATTATTCATCTGTTGACTCTGATCTGTTGAATTGCAATCTTGACTGTACAATGTATGCTGGTTTGCAACTTGGCTGAAATATCTGCTATAAAGTGGAGGTTGAATAACTTAGCTGATGCATATGATCTTTTTAGCTGTGTACCTTCTTTATCGATGGTTCACAGCTTGACTACGGAAATGTACCTACACTGTCGCCCAAGGTTTGCAACTCGACTGCAACCGCTGCTGAATTAATGGTCGGCAACTTGACTAACGAATGGCATTTTGTACGATCTCGCATGCATGGAAGTGTACCTACAAATATTCATCGCGAACTTGTGGATTTGTCTCGACTATTGTTGCTGCATACGATCTATTATGCATAAAACGTACCTACTTATTCACCGGTGCTTGGCGACTTGAATAATTTTAAAACGATAAATGTCGTGCATAGCTCAAACGGAAATAACCAGGAAGAAAATTGAACAAAATGTTTTTTTTTTTTTTCAAATAAATTTTAATATGCTTTTTGATGTTGGCAATGTTATTGCACTTCAAATTTGGTCCTTTCGTTTTTTTTTTAATTTTCCAATAGTTACACAAAAAAAAAAAAATTAATAAATAAATGTTTGTCAAGGAAAGTTCGACTAGATTCAGTTAAGTCTTTTTCTATCTATATTTTCTGCTAGCATTATGCTTTCCCTGTTTTTCTGTTGCTGTTATTTCTTAATTATTATTTTTTTCTTTTTTTTCTATTTATTTTATTTTAGTTCGCGCAGCTTCCTTTTTTGGTCTTTTTTTTATTTTCTCTGATGATTTGCATTTTGTATGGCTGTGTTGAGTAGGACACGGCTAAGAAGGGGACGAGGGGTCCGCTGTGAGTCTACACATATTTCTTGAACTCATCGTAAATGGCCAGCACGAGAGCCCCGCCAGTGCCGCGAATGATATTTGAGAAGGCGCCCTTGAAGAAGGCAGGGATGCCCTCCTGTTTGGCAATCACCACCCAACAATGTGCAGTATTTTTGTAGATCATTTCCGATTTCTTGAGACCCGACTGCATCATCATGCGACGACGCACTGTATCGAACGGATAGGAAGCAATGCCTGCAATTGTGGTGACCACCTGAGCAATGCCCCAACTGACATAGAAGGGTGTGTTCTTTGGATTGGGAAGATGGTCGCGACACGTATCGTAGAATCCAAAGTAAGCGGCACGATAGATAACGATGCCCTGCACAGATACAATGAAGCCGCGATATAGTCCAATTAACCCATCCGTTTTCACTACTTTTCGCAGACAATCGATCAATCCGTTAAATTCGCGCTCGCCGCCCTTGCCAACATCAGCAGCCAATCTGCAAGAGACGTTAAATAATGTATTTTGGGCAAATTTGGTAACAAATCAATCATGTCAAGTGGCAAGGTTACAACCCCGCAAACCAGTTAACGCGGAAAAAAATTAAAATTCGACTTTGACTTTATAAATGAAAAGCGTATTTTGGTCAAATTTAGTTCTAAACGAAGTGTAGCAATGGACAATTCAAATGTTACGAAAACATAATTTCTTTGCTAACTATATTGCTACGAGTGAATTGTATTAACTGGCAACGCTAGTGGTTTATACCATCTCTATAAATGACAGCCGCCGATTTGTTCTGACTTTTGCAACTTACCGCGTACGTGCAAAATCCAATGGATAGACAAAGCAAAGAGAAGTGGCGCCGGCCGCACCACCAGAGGCCAAATTGCCCATGAAATGACGCCAAAATTGTTTCTTTTTGTCAATACCACCCAAGAATACCTAAAATATGAATAGAAAAAATGCAAATTTTGAAATTTTTCAATGTAAATCTGTCAAATATATAACTAAAATATATGCTATTTGAAATTTGAATAGTGCTGCAACTATTTGGCGACTCACCGTCTTGTACACATCCTTAAAGGCGAAGTTGAGCGCTTGCGTTGGAAAGTATCGTATCACATTGGCCAAATTGCCGCGCCATAGTGATGAGAAGCCCTGCTCACGCGGAATGCGCACGAAACAATCGACAATTCCCTTGTAGCGCTTATCCGATTGAATTTGTTTCGATACCTCCTGCACTTGGAGAATCAATTTGACACGCTCGATAGGCGCCACCGCCGTTTTTGCAATGGCCGCCGATACGCCGCCCATCATAAAATCAATTAGGAAGGATTTTAAATCACCTCCGGGTTTCATGCCGCCGCCTTCATCACCCATTTTGTTGAATTTAGTTTTTTCTGCGGTTTCTTTTTGATGGTACGCCGGAGTCCGGTTCTATTTCTGTTAATTTTTCAAAAGATTTTGGAGGCCAAGAAGAAAATTAAAAGTTTTAATAAATTTATTTTTTTGAATAATTTTTTTTTCCGAAATAATTTTGGTCTAGAATAAAACCAGCTCCGTACAAAATGGGCCAAATTTGAATGTATATCAAACACAGCCCACGACGTTAACTTGCCAGGCTACTGAGGCCGAGAGAATGTTTGCTAACGTCAAAGAAAGCCTACTTTGATCCAATAAAACTACATAACTCGACAAATACAGAGTGTTTTCATTCGGATTGCCGTTCCATTGGTGTTTTTGCTGAATTCACGTGGATTAATAACGAAAACGCGGCGACGCATGGCCGAAAATATATTTTTTCGGCGATTTCCCTGCTTCACGGAATCATTTAAGTTTCCCCAACAAGCGAATAATTTATAACGGTCTATTTGCTGAAATATTGAAGTCGCACGTTGTATACATACACATTTTCAATTCCGTTTCCCGTTGTCACACTTTCAGCTAAATGTATGTGATGAGTGGGGGAAATCGATGCGAATAAAACACATTTGGTGTACTATTTTTATCAATTTTTATATTTTTAACCAACCGTAGGTTGATTTTTTTGTTGGTTTGTTGTTGTTACTGCAGAGGCTAAAGAAATGGTTCTTAAAATTTCTTTTTATATTGCGCACTCTGTATATGTATATACGATCAAACATTCTCGATCGGCAAAAGGGGGAGGGGGCGATTGTTTCGTTGAGAACAGAGACAGAGATACAGACGCACCTGTCTGCTCTGCCACAATCACCTGTCGAACTTAACAAGAATGCTACTAGCTTATAACTTAAATATATGTCTAGAATGTTCGTCTGATATTGTTGTTTGTCTCTTGTGTGTTGTGTTTGTGGCTAAGAGATTTGGCTTGTCCAATCCGCTCCAAATATCCTGATTCCGACTCCTTTTGCTTTTCTTACTGTTCTACTGGTAGTTGTTGTTGTTGTTGTTGTTGTTATCTGGCCATCAAATGTTTGCTATTTATGCAAGTGCAATTAAATATATTCCAGTTATTATATATAATATAATTTTATAATTATATTGGATTATTGCAGATGTTTCGCGCTGTTGTTGAATTTATCTTTATATAATATAATTAGCTGGTAGTGGTAGTTGTTGTTTGTTTTTGTTTTTGTTTTGTTGTTGGTTTTTGAATAATTTAATAATTAAATTTACAAGAACTTCTTGATCTCATCGTACAACACAAGCACGAAAGCACCGCCAGTGCCTCTGAGAACGTTGGAGAAGGCGCCCTTGAAGAAGGCACCGCTACCTTCCTGCTTGGCAATGGTGGCCCAGCAGTGCAGTGTGTTCTTATAGATGATCTCGGTGGACTTGCGGCCAGACTGCATCATCATGCGACGACGAACAGTATCGAATGGATAGGACACAATGCCAGCAACAGTTGTAACAACCTGAGCGATGGCCCAGCTAATGTAAATGGGTGTGTTCTTAGGATCGGGCAACATGCCGCGGGCGGTATCGTAGAAGCCAAAGTATGCAGCACGATAGATGATGATGCCCTGGACAGAGACACCGAAGCCGCGATACAAGCCAACAATGCCGTCACTCTTGAAGATCTTGGTCAAGCAGTTGCCCAGACCGGTGAATTCACGAGCGCCACCCTTGCCAGTATCAGCAGCCAAACTAAAACGGAACAAGTTTCAATATAGATATATCCAAATATATATTTGTATTTATATGATCGTCACTTACCGAGTACGCGCAAAGTCCAATGGGTAGACAAAGCACAAAGAGGTAGCACCAGCAGCACCACCAGAGGCCAAGTTGCCCAAGAAGTAACGCCAGAACTGGGTGTTCTTGTCAACACCACCCAAGAAGACCTATGAAATAGATGGGCACAGAAAACAGAAAACACACACAATTATAGTGGAGCACATATGTGGATTTAATATATTGTGGTTGCTTACCTGCTTGTACTTGTCCTTGAAGGCAAAGTTCAGAGCCTGAGTTGGGAAATATCTAATAACGTTGGCCAAGTTACCGCGCCAGTATGAAGCAAAACCTTGTTCCTTTGGAATGCGGATAAAGCAATCAACCATACCCTTGTATTGCTGATCGGGGGAGATTTGTTTCGAGATGTGCTGAACCTGCAGAAGCAGTTTCACACGCTCGATGGGTGCGACGGCAGTCTTTGAGACAGCTGCGGAGATACCTCCGGCAGCGAAGTCCTTGACGAATCCAATAGCATCAAAATCCTTGCCCATTTTGCTATAAACAACAATGCAAAGTATCCAAAAATTTACATATAGTTCTCCAACTTCACTTCCATATTAACATCGTGCATTGTTTGTTCTTCTTCATCTTCTTTTTGAATTTTTGTCCGTCGTCATTTATGAGGTTAGTTTCATGATTATGATTATGATTATGATTATTGCATTTTTGTTATTTACTTGCGATTTTTTGTGTTTTGATTATTTTATATGAAGCACATTTCACTTTTTACACTATTTTAATATTTACAAACAAATTTGATAGCCACCACAACCAATAAAAATATGTTTAAAACATGCATAAATGGAAACAAAGCGTTAACGAAACGAAAACGTTTAGCGCCCTACTTAACATGTAATCCATAATCTATACGTTACCCAATCAATCGTTGCAAACTGCAAAGTAACTGAGCAACTAAGAGATTGAT